GAGATGAATTATAAATGATGGAAATTGTAACCTGTTTTCTTTTTTTGTCGGAGGTCTCACACATCTGGTGGTAATGTACTTAGTGTATATTTGAATTGAGGAACTGTTAACCTTGAGCTTCTTCAACCTTGTGTCCTCGGCTTTTCGAAGACAAGCTCGCTTCTTCCTATTCTTCTTTTCCTGAGTTTGGGTGCCAATAGTTTCAGGGACATCCCTCACGGTGGGTTGTTGTACCTGAATGGATCATAGTATGTACAATACATTATTTGTTGTTAATGTGGTATGGTGGAGATAGATTGGAGTTTTGGAGTGAAAGTGAGTTGGAAAGGATGCATCAGTACCTCAGTCACGATATGGATGCTGCTAGGTGCTTCGGTTCCATTTTCCTAAGTTAAAGCATGTAAACAAATTGTTGGAAACTTGAGAAATAAGTAATGGAAGCTAGGAATGGGGTGAAATGATGCATTTGTTGAGTAATGAATGTAAAACATGTAATAGACATATATGTAATGGAAGCTACATATGGAGGTTGTTGGAAACATGGCAAATATGTAACGGAAGCTACAAGTGGGGTGAATGGAAGCAGTGTTGAGAAATGAAATAATGCACCTGGTTGAGATGGGTTGGTGGTGGCGATTGTACAGGGGATGTTCCGCGACTGATGTGCGCCAAGTTTGCGTCCACTGTTGACATGGTTGTTGGTCCTGCATTTTCTGAGATGTATGGCAATGGAGTTAGTGATGAACAATTGATGATGAAGTCAGGTTGGTAGTGGTATACGATGCACTGACCTGGAGCTGAGGATTGTCCAACTGCAATAGCGGCATCGACAGTTTGTGGCTGATGTGGCGACGAAGCAGGTTCGGACAGGTAGAAAGCTGAAACTTGCATCTTCGTACGTATCAAGAATCCTCCGCCTTGTATCTTCCTCTCCGGTGGAATGGTTCGTCGCAGGAGCTGATGTAGAAGCAACATCCTGGTTATTACGAGGTGTTTTTCGAACACTTCTCTCCACCTCATCGGCATATGCAGTTGCTTCCTGCCAAAACTTGGTGTTGGGTGTAGCTTTGGTCCCATGTTCTTGAGCATTTTCAGTAGATGAGTCTTGGCCTACCCTATCAGGCGAGGAATACGTAGGTGTTGTTGGAGTATGAATTCTTGAGGCAACAATGACATCTTGTGCAAACTCGTTCATGCGCTTTGCGTGCAGTTTGTTGAGTCGTGATGTGGCTTTTGAAATATCAAGTGCCCATTTTGCATTATGCGTTTGCAAAATTGGAAGTATGAACGCTGGTAGTTCCTGCAAGAAGAAAGGTTTTTACAAATTATTATGGTGGAAACTTCAAATTGAGAGCATGAAACAATAAGTAGGAAGGTAGCAGCATGGGTTGTTGTATAGAATATGTGGTTGTTCTTGACGGTGATGCTAGCTGGAAGCATGAGAAGTAAACAATGACAACATTTAGAAAAGGAGGTAGAACCATGGTTTGTTGTATATATGTTGTTGCTAATCTTATAGCATGTTATGGCTGTAATATGTGAGGGAAAATTCATAATGGTATACCTTAGATTGATTGGTAGGTAATGTAGGGACCTGGTGATGCATGTCCTGTTGTGAAGCACGAAAGGAAAGATTAGAAAACCCAGAAAAAACATGGAGTACAAGATATGTAATACAAAATTCTGTTACGAAATGATCAAAAAATTGGGTGGGTACCTCTGCTGGATGGTTGGTAGAATCATTATTTGTTTGTTGAACATATGGCTGTTGAGTAGATTGCTGCTGGTAGATTGGCGCTACAATGGCATATGGGGTTGCCTCGGGTGCACGAAACTGCAAAAAAAATTGCACTATTAAAGCAATGGTCTAAGGAGTAAAGTGAATAGTGGTGGATCGTTAGTCAAATAAAAATGCTTCCATCCAGATGTATATGGAGAAAGCGAAATGTTTTGCATATATTGGAAGCAATGACTAAAAAAAATGTATGGAAGTCATAATTTGTTGTGTCTTACCGGTCGTGCGCCATAAATATATGGGTTGAGGCTCAGTCTACTTTTATCAGCGAGCATGACAAATTCGAAGTCGGCATCGGTTACATGGGATGATCTTGGAAGTGAGTAATTTATGCGATGCGTCGACAAAGATGATTCAGGAAAGTCAAGATGGTCCATGTATATAATCTGGAATAAAAAGTATGATCAAAACATGTGTATTTAAATGAAAGAATAAGGCTATGAAATTTGCTATAGAAACATATGTGTAGTATAGTGTGTATACCGCGAGCACGGGTAGGCAGCTGCCGACCCAGATTTTTTTGAAGACACCATCTAGTAGTGCTTTTTTCTTCTTCTTTTGGAATGTATCGACCTCAGACATGACATCTTTGAGAATTTGCTCTCCCCATGCATACTCGCAAACCTCGGAAGCCACTTCAAGGCTGCCTAAATATTCCAAAGGAACCATATTTCCAGTTCCAGGTGTAAAATGAGTAGCCAATGCTACTAGAAAGAATGTCCTGAAGAAGGTCTCATCATCTAGATCATTGCCTTTTTCTAGCATGGTTGCAGCATGGTGAATGGGCGCCCGTCTCCCATGCTCATAGTCTGTTTTGTAGAATTCTCGGTGAGGTGATTCTTCATGCTTCCTTATGATAACCACCAGCCTAGTACCAGCCGGAAGCCCGAGAGCCTTTTCAACCATTTGTCGAGTGAATAGAATGCTGGTATTGTTTCGTGGATTCCGAAATTCACCTAGCTTCGGGTCAATCTGGTCAACGATCCATTCTAGGAGACCCTCTGGAGCTGAGAATTTGCTAATATTAAGTAGATTACCCCATTTTTTTGTGCAAATGAGGTCTTTCCTTCTCTGTGGGAGACCCTTGACAATATCATGTAACCTACTAGCTGAATGTCGACTCTGCAGCATGATCAACTCCTTTTTAGTCATTGTTGAGTGTCACCTGAGAACATATGGAATACAGATTGTTAGCATTTCTGTAAGAAAATGTTTCGTAAGGAATGAAGTGATACATTTGCTCTATTTTGGAATTAGTTGTATGGAAGCTATGCACTACAAAATAAGAGTATATATATGTTGACTGATGACATTTTGGATTACAGAAGCACGAAATTATGGACACTACAAATACGGCGCATGGTATTGAATTTAGTAAGCTTGGTGCCAGGATGGGGACGCATCTGTTAGTATTTTTGGCGATGAAGCATTATTCTGGAAAAAAAGTATCCAAAAGGGAACAATTACGAAGGAATTTTGTGTGATTGAGTCATGGAATGTAGGGTGCATTTCATGAAATTCAGGGTGCATTTTTATTCTTTAATGGAAGCATGGAAATTCAAAAGGGGTAATCCTAACAAATTTAGCGCCAATATGGGGGTACGTTTACTTGTATGCTCTGTTTAGAGGAAGCATTTGTAGGATGCATTGAAAAGGAAGTGTGGCAGCAATTCTAAAATAGATGTGAAGCACCCACAAAATTTGAAACAACTTAATAATCGAAACAATACTAGGCCGGCAATGAACAAAAAAAACAAATTTCATCCATATGAAGGGTGCATTACACATCAAACTCTGTTGCAAAAATTACAAAATCCCCAAAAAATCTGGGGCACTCCACGAGGTGCACATACCTTTGATTCAGTGTTGGGGAGCTTCAAATATACAGCCGCAATTTAGAAATCCAATGGCCAATACTCCGGCCGGCCGATCCAAATTGATGGGGATGCAGCCGAATCAGTAGATGGGATAGCCTAGCGACTGAGGAAAGTCCGCGGAATCGAACGAGGTAGCGTCGGTGGAGTGGACTAGGTGGTAGCCATGCCTCTCGGCGGGGAGACTCGAGTGAGGAACAATGGGGCAGGATGCTCGGCGCTGCGGTCCACCGATGTGAGGCGAAGCTGGAGGTGCGCGAGGCGGATGGAGCGGGCTGATGAGGCGGAGCGGAGAGGCGTCGGTGGCCGGGGTGGTCGCGGAGCGGAGAGGTGTCGGTGGCCGGGGTGGTCGCGGAGCGGAGAGTCGCGGTGAGACGGCGGAGGAGCAGGGGATCTGGTGAGCGAGCTGGCGGCGAGGCGAGTCAGGTGGGAAGCAGAGCTCGGGCAGGGCCGACGTTTAATGCTATCGAGAGGGATTAGAGGAGATTGATTGCGAGTGGGGGCATGCAAAGATCGGGGCTTTCCTTATTTCCTTTTTTTTGAAACGCGACGAAATCTGGAGCGTCTCCTTTACAACGAATCGACGGACGTCGATTGGTCTGGCGCTAGCGTCGCTTCAGACTACAGATCAGAAATGTTTACCATAACAAATGATATACAGATGGTGGGAAACGTTATGCCGGCCATAAGTATTCAAGTTGCACGAATCACGTGGCAACATGCGGTGTGGATATCGGCATCGCGTGGCCGCATGTCCACTCGCGATTATTCGATCCCAATGCCCTTACCTAGTAAAGAGACAAAAAAAACTTAGTAGTAAGTCGGAGATAGCCCATTTCATCCAGTCCTGTTTGTTTCTCCTTTGATGGGCCGAACAGGCCTCAAAATATATAGGGGTAATTTATTTTATTTTATATATATAAAGAAAAAGCCTGGAAATACGCAGTGCGGTAGGGTTACGAGTGTCCATCCTCACAGAAGAACAGCCGCCGCCACTCTGCTCCGGCGCGCTGCTGCCCTGCGACTACCTCGCCTGGAGCTGCCGCCGGCGCTTCTCCCCTGCCCCGCGCCACTGGTGCCGCCTTTCCGTCGTCCCTCGCGCCGCTGCAGGCGTGCTGCCCTGGCCGAGTTCGTCGCCGGGGGCAAGGCTGACGACGCGTCCAGAGGCATCGGTGACTTTCAAGGATAGGTCACCGCCTCCTCTGCCACGCCAAGAGGTCGTCCGGAGAGAGCGCGTCGCGCGGCGCCGCGGCCGGTCACCTCCGATCGCGCCCACCCCCACGCCGATCAGATCTGCCCCCCTCCGGCCACGACAGTATCTGAAGGTCGACATGGACATGGAGCGCACTGACGTGCTGGTCGACATCCTCCGCCACCTCCCGCCGCGCAGCGTCGCCGCATCCCGCTGCGTCTGCACGTCCTGGCGGGCCACCGTCGACCACCACCGTCTGCTGCGCGCGGACCTGCTCCCGCTCTCGGTGGACGCGGTGATCTGGGACAATTATATAGACGCCCCGATGCTCTTCGCCCGCCGCTCAACGGCGCGCTACATCACCAGCAGGCTCGATTACCTCGAAGAGGATCCCAACTATGGGATGTACGCTGGGGAGATGAGGGATTACTGCAATGGCCTCCTCTTGATTCAGAACGACACGGTGGTCAATCCTGCCACGCGGCAGTGGGCGCCGTTTCCCCGGCTGCCGTGCGCGTGCTCGCCCGATGGGGATTGCGGGCGCTGCCACAACAATCGCTACCTCGCATATGACCCTACCATCTCGCCACATTACGAGGTATTCTTCATTCCTCGTATTCCCTGTGATGTACCCGATGACATGGCCTGCACTATGGAGTGGCCACCTTCGCCGTATACCATGTATGTTTTCTTGTCCAAGACAGAGTGTTGGGAAGAGAGGTCATTCATGCGAGAAGGGGATGCTGCCGGAACAATTGACGATGTGAAATCACATCGGAAATCTGATCAGAATTTGTACTACGCAGCTTACTGGCAGGGGTCACTTTACGTTCCTTTTAGGCAAAGACACGGTGATTTTCTACTGAGGTATTACTCATACTCAGACACTCAATTATCATGTTTATGATTATGTTGGTAATTGATCTTTGTCGGTGCTTTTTTTTGTAGAATAAACTTGTCGAGTGATGAGTACCAAGTAATTGAGTTGCCAAAAGGAGGCATCAGATCACTATCTCGTCTAGGAAAATTGGAAAAAGGGGTCTACTGTGTATTGTATATCGATGGAAGATGCACATTTCAGGTTTGGTTTCTTCATGAATCATGTGGTCTTATAGACTGGGTTTTGAAGAATGAAATAAACCTTGAGCTAGTATGGAGAAAATGTTTCTGGAAACATCTTGACAATCAGGGCCGGCCCATAGGCCGGGCAAACGGGGCGCCCGCCCTGGGCCCCCGGCAGGCAAGGGCCCCATCCCAGGTATTATTTCCTCTATAGTACTAGGAAGCCCAGAAAAACAGCGAGAGTACTGAGTACAGAGGGCCCGCTCAGCGTCGCTCTTTCCCGTGCTCCTTGACTCCTCTACCCCAAATCCCATACTCCGAAAACAGCGCCGCCGTTCCCGAGCATCTCCGATTCCTAGATCGCCGCCGTTCCGAGCGTCTCCGATTCCTAGATCGCCGCCGGCCATTAATGGGGACTAAAGGCACAAATTGGCTCTCCTTCCTTCTTCTATGTTCTGCTCGTTCCCCATCAGCTAGATGTTGGAGACTTGGAGGCATTACGTGTTCTTCTTTTCCTCCTCCCCATAATCCTGTTCCTCCTTTCAATTAAGTAGATGTGCCCTCCGACGACTCCACATCTCTTCTTCTTATTTTATACTCTTCAGACTTCAGTGGATCTAAGTGTGAGTGCTCGGCAGTCAGGAGATTAGGGAGCTCCTGAACTGGAGAAGGGGGGCAAATTATCCAGTTCATGGTGTTGTGTTCTCGTTCGTGCTGACTTCAACCTGCGGATCTGCTGATTTGGCCACCTACATCCACATTCAGGTGCTTTTGTTCCCTGTTTCAATCATTTTATGCTGCTTGTTCTTGTTTATTGACATGTCCTCTAGAAAGTATTTATCTGGTAGTAACAAAAGGAAGAGAAAAAAGCAAATAGATGAAGAGGTAAAATCCCTAAAAGGATCACTTGACAAATTTTTCAGACCTGGTAGTTCTTCTAGAGATCCCCTAGAATCAATTGGCCATAGCAAGTGTTGAAGAACTACCAGCTGAGAAATGAAGTCTCCATTCAAATTTAGGAATACAAGCTATTGTGGAAAGCGGGCTTTTGCCGAACTACATCATTTCATTAGTTCACTTGATCGATAAATAAATTGTACTATCAGTTTTAGAGTCCAAATTAAGAAGCTATGCACTGGATATTACTTTGCTTTTTGAAATATAAAATATTTTGAGCTTTTGAGTAAACAGGGGCCCCTTATTGCTGTCTTGCCCCTGGGCCCCATATATCTATGGGCCGGCCCTGTTGACAATGGACCATGGATCTCACAGTCTCCTGATCAGAGAGAGTTGTTGTTGAAGAATGAAGTAAACCTTAAACTTGTAGATGAATACAATGAAGCACTAGCAAAAGATGATTTTGAATGGGACCCTGATGATGAAAATGTTGTTAGCACTGGAGACTGGCCTAAGAAGTGCAGCCCTAACCCTGAAGCTTCTCTTTCTCTTGATTGCCTTGGATTTCACCCTTACAAAGAAATCGTCTTGTTTCGTGGGGACGATGATGGTGCTATCAGTTGCTTATCATTTAAATAGCTCCAAGGTTCAGTACTTGGGAGAGTTGGATCCTGAGATGAGGCTTAACCATTACGGTATAGAGATCTCTTTTGCGTACACCCCATGCTGGACTATGGACTTACCTGGAAGTAAGTAATGCCAGGTCGTAGGCTTACACCCCATGCTGCACTATGTACCTGGAGTCGCGCAAGGGACACCCTCTCGCGCTAGACACGTCATTAGGTTAAAAAAATGCGATAGCGATTGGGTGAGAGAGAGGGGCCGGGAAAAGGACTCCTCCCACTCGCCCCGACTCCTCCCACGCCGCCTCCAATCCTCTCGTCCCTCACGAACCCTAGCCGCCTCCATGCTCCTCCTCCTCCTCCTCCATCCTCCCGCGCCAGTCACCCCTCCTCTCCCGCATCTCATCTACCCCCGGATCCGAGGTGTGCGGGCGCGGAGGCGCCCCGGCGGCAGCAGCAACCTACAAGCAAAGGGCGATGGGGGCGGCGCTTGATTCAATCTGCAGGAGAGAGAGAGAGAAGATGAGAAGGAGAAGAAGGAAGGAGAGGAGGGAGAAAGAGAGAGAGGCCTCCGGGCGGTGCTCCCGTGCCTCCTCCCCACCCATCTCGCCGACATCTCCTCCCCGAGCTCCGCCCTCTTTGTGCGCGGCGGCTGATGCAGCTCCGCACCGCCGGCGCCGTCCCCTCTCCTCCCTTGGTCTCTAGGACGTCCTGATGCCGTCTCTACCCCATCGCAGCCTCTTGCCATTGGGCTGGGCCTTCCCTTCGTCTGAGGTATGAGCACCTGGATTGTTTGTTTTTCATCCGGTGCATCATCAGTTTTCTGTTGTTAAATCCCCGATCTATCGGCAGTGGAGGCCATGCGCCGATTGAAGGGTTCTTTGGCGAGGTCGTTGTTGGAGGCGACGGCAACGACGGTGGCCTCACGGGTAAACTAGCCTCGTTGACAAACGGGATCTCATCTCCTTCCTTTCTTGATGCTCTCGTCCACAGGGAAACGGCGACCACAGTCGGTGTGTCGGGCAGCGGGCGGACGGAGGGGATCGCGTCGGGGTTGGTGAGGCCGTTCGTGGCGCACCTGCAAACAGCGCAGAAGCAGTTGGCCATCCGGCTGCAGCTGGACCGGCGTGTCGCGTGGTTCATCCTCGAGAGTTTTGTTCATATGGCTTGTGCGGCAGTGCTCGGGTCGGTTGATTTTGATGCTGGAAAATGTTTTTACTTACTACTGCATTCAACTATTAATTTTGCCCATGTTTGATTTACAGATGACATGGATATCTCACTTGATTACGCCTTCAAAGTTTTAACCATCTTGGAGAATGTGGTTTAAGTGTCTAGAGGTCTCATGTTTATTTTGTTATACATGTATGGTTTCAGTTAATTTGAGTCGACTCACATCTGCCACAGGTTGGTTCGTTCACTTTCTTCATTTGATTCCAGTATATGTACAGGGCGAAGTGTTAGTTTTCTTTAATTCAGCCCTACAACTTGAGATAATAATGCATGTGAGGAGGTCTGCTCTAGAAAAATAGATAGAGCTCTTCAGTGGCTTGGCGGAGACCCTCGTCGACAAGGCCATGGAGCTCGACCACACCGGCGGCACCCACGACGGCAACCGCAGGCCGCCCCCCTTCCTCTGCCTCGCCCTCAAGGTGCTCCAGATCCAACCCAACAAGGAAATTGTCCTCGAGTTCATCAAGAACGAGGACTACAAGTAATATTCCCCCTTTAACATAGTCGTCGATTCTGTCCTCTACCTCTAGCTGCTACTTATAGGCACTGAGCTGACAAATCATTGCTCTTCTTCTTCTTGTTTCTGCTCTAGGTATGTCCGAGTTCTTGGGGCGTTCTACCTGCGCCTCACAGGCACCGTCGCCGACGTTTACCAGTACCTCGAGCCGCTCTACAACGACTACCGCAAGATTAGTCAAAAGCTCAGCGATGGAAGTATGCACTCCAAACTTTATTTCTTTGGATCTCAGATTGTTACTTAATACTTATGCTGGTAGCAAGCTAGGTGTATGAAATGTCAGATTTGGGGGTATGTGGTTGTTTTACTCATTTGATCATCTATATTCGTTTCAGAATTCACACTCACACACTTTGATGAGTTCATTGATGAGCTCATGACCAAGGACTACAGCTGCGACACTGCCCTCCCCCGCATTCAGAAAATGTCTGTTTTTTCCGTCCTAACGTGGAGTGAGCCTCTGCCATGCACTTGAAATTTATCTTGTTTGCCACATCTGCATCTACACTGCCCTTTGCTGCTGCTCAATTTCTCGCACATCTTAAATAGATACTTATTGCTTTTGAGATTGGAGTTAATAATTGCCTCTCTCTGTTACACACATAATTGTCATGTATGTTTCTGTAATATGTTTTTGGTTCAGAGATATTTTCTTTTTTCCACTGGTCAACATAATCTTAAATACATGTTTGCCTCTTGATGTGCTCCATATGCTTCACAAATTCATTTTTATGGATCTTTTCAACAGATGGGTCCTTCAAGCTTCTAGAACTCTAGAACCAAGAAGAAGTGCACTTGAAGACGATTTTGAGGAAGAGGAGGAAGATAAGGAGGATGGGCAGCCTATGGACGTAGATGAGCCTAACACTCATGAAAAGGTGAGCATACTTGCTAAATGATCTACATTGATCCCCTACTCTCCGCTGCATCATGACGAGGATCAAGCTCCATTTGTTTTCTTTATATGTCTGAACCAGGAAATTGACTACTCATTGTTTTCTTTTGGTGTGTTTATTTGGTGCAATTGGACATTGAAAGGAAAACATTACATGTGTGTATGTGGCCAATTCTGATTTATTCGACTCACAAAAATTTTCTCCTTAACTCCTGCTAAGTTTTATTTCTGAAACTGACCTCATTCCTTCAGTTTCATCAATTGATTTTTCAAAAAATTAATTTCAGCATGTACTTCCTCTCACAAACTACCAGACCAGCTAGCTCATTGATACTATGTGATAGATGCCATGCCATGTGTTGTATGTAGCATGCCATTAATGATTGATGGAGTAATAGGTGTGTTGATGAAGCAAAGAGAGGAAAGTAAATAGATTGAGGGCTCTGAAAGAATAGGAAGTTGTATAACAACTAAGAAAATATGTGGAGCTAAGGCAAAACCGAAGATTATCCCTGGCTTTGTATTACTTTTCTTGATGGAATAGTATTTCCAGCTTCTCTCTCTCTCTCTCTCTCTCTCTCTCTCAAAGAGAGACGGCGGCGGCATAGAAGAGTACAATATTGGAGGCTGTCGTGGTAGGGACAATCATTCACATAGTATGTTTTGCAGAGGTAGATCTT